ACAGAAAAATCTTCCATCTGATTTATTTCCTCCAACCAATTTTCAGTTTCATTTTCGTCTGGTATGTAGTCTGCATCGGAATCTTCTTCATGTATCTCCTCTGTTATGTCAGAATCTTCCAGTTCATTATCACTTTCAGTGAATCTAATATGTTCGTCATCTTGATCCATTAAATTTCTCTTCAAATCTTGGATCATTAGGATGCGTACGATCAGGGATACTGCTCATGATGTTAATTTTTATCTCCGGTACACGTTCGCTAAGGTGAGGTCGCTGAGACCGCTACGGTATAGTTTTGGCAATAACAGTACACTGCCGCACAAGCTTATATTGCCAACTGACTAAAACGTTCCGTCATGCTTTCTCCAAAAGGTATCTAGCTTCCTAGTATCCAGATGTGCTGCGTTGCCAAATTGTAACACATAGTATATCAATGGGGTATCGTAGACCGCACGTTAGCGGCTAAAGGTTAAACTAGCGATGGTTTCTGGCATAACTTCGTTTCTCCCTAGGATTTCACAAAATGCACGCAACTCAGAAACAGTTCAACATGCGGACTCCACTATTACCCTTTAAAAGTTTGGAACTGACTTTCCGAACACCTCGTATATTACCATACACCCAACCGCATCTTATTGAAGCTGAAACCCCTCTAAATTCGACAGGTCCCCGTTCCATTTACCAAGGGACCATCCGAGTCACGTCCTACCTGTTCAAGACAATGTCACGGGGAGTCCGGACCCGAAGTCCGCTTCACTCTGGTTAATGCCGTCGTACCGGAATCTGATGATTTATAGTCGTAATTTATCTGGCAAGGCGTAAATAATACAGCCTGTGCAGCGTGGGGATGGCAGAGGAGATGAAAGGAGAAAGCCGGGCTGGCAGGCGGGACCCACCCGCCGCACCGCAGTCAATAAAAGGACTTCTACGGTGATGAAGTGAACTGGGAGGTATTTGGGAGTCGTGATCGCAATACCGTGGCACTGGAACGCGGCATTCAGGGCTCAGCGATGACGCTTTTTCAGTGCACTTAGATAATGACGATTTAAATGTATCCATCATTACTGGTGGCCAACGAATTTGTATAGATTAGGAAGAGCTATGCCTACTTTAAAGATATAAATTATCTTTATCACGCTTTGTACTTTTTTTCTATGATTTTCTTACGATCCATCCAACTCAATGGTCTACCCTTTACTACAGGGTGGGCCATTTGAAGTGGAAGCATTTGTTTATAAAAAAATACATTAAAAAAGTATTTTTTGTTGTTCATTTGAAGAGTATTTTATTTTGATCCAAGGAGATTTGTTGTAATTACTTTTCAAAAATGATATCACGCAAATGGCCTTGATAACCAAATGTGCCCTTTTTTGGCGTTTCCCATCACGTTGGCCAATGTTTTGGCGGATATGGCGGCAATTTTTTTACGAATATTGCTCTTGAGGGCAGCTAGAGTCCTTGGCTTGTTAACGTATACCTTGGATTTCAAATAGCCCCACAAAAAAGTCTGGTGGCGTCAAATCATGTGATCTCGGTGGCCAGTCAAAATTGCCATTTTTCGATATCATTCGTCCAGGGAATAATGGTCGCAATAAATTGATTGTTGCTTGAGCTGTGTGGCATATGGCGAAGACCTTCTGGAACCAATCATCGTCCATCTCATTTTCTTGTTTGTTTGTTTCAGATTTATTTAGCATTAATGCTACAATGTCCATATTACACAAAATATATTATGTCTTCAAGACTACAAATTTTTATACAAAATTTCACTACTATGAATTCTGGTTTTCCATGAGATATTTTTTGAATTTCCCTTTGCACATTTTTAAACTGACACACATCTTGATATCATTATTTAATTTATTAAATTCGTACAATTCCTTTTGAAATACTGACTTGTTCGTTATATTGCTACTGCAGTTTTGCAAATGAAAGTCTATACTTCCTCTAGAAGAATAACTGTGGCACTCACTGTTCAATATAATAAAATTTTCTAAGTGATTTGGTAGAAGATGATTTTTTAACTTGAATATGAAAATGAAAACCAAGTAGGCTAAGAAATTTTTGATATTTAACCATTGTAGTTCTTTCAGCATAAAATTTATTCTAGTATATTTATTTTTGTTTAAGATGATTCTAATAGCTTTATTTTGTAATATTTGTAATTTTGAAAATAGTTACATTTGCAGTGAGCAAAATAGTCGAGCAATGTAACAAATAAGGAAGAATGATAGTGTTGTACACATTTTTTTCAGAATAAACGCTTAGGCTATGCAAAACTCTATATAATTTAATTTCTTGGATATTTTTGAAATAATATATTGATAGTGCCCTTCAAAGTTTAACTTACTGTCTACGTATATGCCCAAATTTTTGAATGATTCGATTGACACAATTTTTTCTTGATTAATTGTAAGTTTTATTGTATTTTGAACTAAAGATTTTCCTATTAGCATATATTTTTCCTTGTTTGTGTTTAGTTTAGGTTTATTTACATTTAACCAATTTATTACGTTTGTCATATCATTATTTAACAGCTCTATTGGAGTTTCAATGTCTTTATTTGATATATATATACATATATATATATATATATATATATATATATATATATATATATATATATATATATGTATATATATATAACTTGAGACGTGGTCATTGTCGTCTAGATATATATATATATATATATATATATATATATATATATATATATATTAATGTATCATCAGCAAATAGTTGAATTTTGCAGTGTTGTAAAATATCAGGAATATCGTTAATATATAAAATAAATAGTAATGGACCTAATTTGCTACCCTGTGGTACACCTACCGAGTTTAAGATATTTGACTTCAATTGATTAAGTAATTTTGTAATAAGTTGTATACTGAACCTTGAAATACATAGCAATCGTTAACAATTTCTCCCTGTCAATAGTCTCAAATGCTCTCTTGAAATTTAAGAACAATGTTACTGTAAACTTTTTTTCGTCCATGTTTCGCCTCCATTCTTCTACTACCATTTGAATTGCTGTTTCATATCATGGCTCGATAACGCTGACCATTGACGGTTACCGCAGCTCCATCATCGTCTTCAAAAAATACCATGACCATATTCGCGCACATACCGCACCAAACAGTAGCTTTTTGGTCATAAATAGGCTGCTGTTCGATTAAATGTGGTTTTTTGGTAGCATAAAACCAACAATTATGTTTACTTACGCCTCCATGTAACGAAAAATGTGCCTCGTCGGACATGATGATTTTCGCCAAAAGTCATCTTCATTTTCGGCCCTTTCAATGCTCCATTTAGCAAAATCAAAGCGACACGGATAATCAGCTGGGTTCAATTGATGACCCATTTGAATTTTGTATGGAAACATCTTCAAATCCTCACGAATTATGCGTCCGAAATGACGCTTCCAACGCGGTATGAATTAGTCGATCTGACAATTAATGTCAAAGGTATAGGGTTGCTTGATGCTTCCACTTTAAATGGCCCACCTTGTATAATTTACTAATCACCGATTTACTTCCGTTATAGCTCGCACTTTACCAGTTATGTAGAAGAAGCGGTTACCACATCTTCTCTCCATACTAGCGAAGTAATAGACCGCTCTGAAACGATGAAAAAGAATCTAACGTCTCACCAATATCAAAACAAAACGACAGCGAATAAAAAAACATGTCTATAGGTCTATACAGTAGGAGAACGGTGACAAACTGGCAACGGAACTAAGTTATAAGTTTTATGAGAATGCTAGACTTGGCTGAAACTTTTAAAGTTATTAAACCTCGCAGACACTGTACCACTTTGTCGCAGATGTAAGGAGCAGAATCCCGTGTTATCATCCGGGTGGTGGTGTGAAAATACGCTTCTTTCCCGACAAGAAAGAGAATTACCTGTCCCCAGACAAAATCTAAATTATTAGCGCTTACGCGTTTCCAAGAGAATGGATTTGGGGATTTAGGGCGGTTTTCGTCTTTTTTGTGCACGCCGAGGGACGAAGAGCTCTCGTGCAGCCGATAAGACCTTCAAGGAAATCATACTGTCAGTATCCGGATATAGTAGCACGCTCTATAATAATTGGAACATTAGTAATGAATGGTGCTCTTTTAGTTTTTTTATCTTATGTCTTCATCTTAGTACTTCAATTAGCTTAATGATGACAGTTTACGCGTTTGTTGCAACGCCATCATTGATTAATCAAAGCGCTGGGATTCTTTAGTTTCTTGAAGATCAGACAATCGTTTTACGCTTGCAACTACCTGTGCCAAGAAACGAGACCATAATTGGAGCCCCTGTGCATACCATATCTCTGGGCTTTCGACTGAAGGGGTCCCAGGGGCTATAGAGCATTTAGCATTGGTAGGAGTGGCACTCGAGTATTTCTTTGGCAATTGCAGATTCACATGCTAGTCCAGCCGCGTGGACCTACATACCAAGGCACAGCGACTGCCATGAGCTTAAAGCCCACTCAGGTAAATTGTTGCACAATCTTGAAAACCTAGCATTGAGTGGGCAGATGTCATCACTAGCACGTTCGACAGAGATGGGATTGGTTGCAGAAGCCTAACGGGTCCACCTGGTAGGCCAAACACGCAGCAGTTTCACAGATAAGGTGTCTGAAGGGCATATTCCGTAAGCACAGTGGTAGAACGGAGCCAGGTCATCGACCGCCCGCCCGCGTTTTATTTTTGGACGATTCGGTACGATCGACTCGAAACTATATGGATAGCCAATAAAACCGTTTCGACACCCTATCTGCATCGTGGCCACTCAATAGGGTTACGCTGGACGCCAGCTGAGTCCACTGCGCATGAGGTAAACATGTTGGTGTTTCGCTATCTCTTAGCACACAGTTTTCTTAACGCACAGAACAACGCGATTATATGACGTCCACTTTCCTAGTTAGCGCAGCATGATTCAAATATGACCAACGTCAGCTTTAGAATACGCATGACCGGAAATGTCAATATTCATTTAACCGGTACCTGTACTTAAATGACTATCAGCTCTAAGTAGAACAGATTGAGCAAGTTTGGATCTACGAACCTGAAATCTGTATTTCGATCTAAGACTATGGAGCATTTTCTGTGAGGACCTGGTTCGTTCTCCCTGGAACACGGATTGTCTGGATTGTTCCAACATTCTTCGGGACTGTTGAGGTGTTTGTTGGAACAGCAGGGATCGGGGCAAAAACTGTAGAGTGCACACGCAAAGGGTTTGGTGTCATCCGCTCTACAAAAGAAGGAATTGGTTTTTTGGGTGAAACACGAAATTAAAAGAAAGGTGGAAACGTAGTTGCTTGTGGGTATAGATCACAGTCAACCCTCACATGTTTGCTAGGCGGTTTATAGGTACTACTTCAAATGTTATAGTCATTCCGGATTGCACAGTAACTCTCCGTTGCATGCAGGCGCATAAGACCACACTCGCGGAACTAAAACGTGCACTTTAAGAACCACATAAGATTAACATTTTGACCACAATAAGCGAACCAAACATTAATTTTTGAATCTTGGTGCAGAATGTTAAAATTTCCAAAGACTAGTTTACAATGCCAAGGCACCTCTCTAACTAACCCACTTCCGCCTCTCTTTGCTCTTTCTCTTCCTTCCTCTCCTTCTCTTTCAGACCTGGCAGACCTACTGTGACGGATAGAAAGAAAGGCTTGCTAGATGCAAGGTTCTGTCTCATAGCTGTGGTGTCTTGTTGATAGAAACCAATCGAATTGGACACTATGCTGTAAACACCTCAGAGGTCATGATTTAATGAAGCTTCAGGTCATTCCCTTATTATAATGCTTTGATTATATATAGCGCAGTGAGTATAAGTTTTACCTAGGATCGTTGTTATCACATCCTTCTAGACAGTTTGCGTAGTTGTCGCATGTTTCGTCATGTAGTTGACGTAGCTCCTTTGTTTGTAGCATCGTGTACATGCACATGTAGTAACTGGCAGTGGTACGCCACTGGAACCGCTCTAATGGACCTATTTTCAACAAAAGTGATCACTTTATTGATTTCGTCACTTCAAAATTGATTTGGTGATGGAAGACGACTAGACGGATTCCAGAAACAACCAATAATCATAGGACTTTATTGTCTTGTCACTAACTCTAACTTACTGTTTATTGTACAACATTGCGCTCACCATGGTGACTATACCCAGTGACACAGAAGTGTTATACCTAGAAAAAATAATTTCTTAAACTTGTTTTTCCCCCAGGAAGTGCTTACTCTGACTCCGGACTACTGTCGTCAACGTTTGGACCGGAGTAGAGAACGGCAACATTGGCAGGCAGAATGGTATAATGTGATCTTCAGTGACGAATCTGTCTAGGTACGCATGCTGGTCGTAGATGGGTAAGACGCCGCTGTGGAGAACGGTGGGATATTGGATTTACTATTGAGAGGCATGTACACAGCACTGCTGGTGTAACGCTGCGCGTTATGTTGATGATGTTCTACAAACCACTTTACTGCCGTATCTAGAGGGGCGTTCACACGTCCTTTTCCAACAACGTACGTCCCCATACTGCTCATCGTACTACGAACTGTCTGCAAAAAGCAGGCGTTAATGTTTTGCTGTGGCCACTCCGTTCACTGGATTTAAACCCCATCGAACATGTGTTGATATGATGTGGAGGAGACTATCCACTTTGCACCAAGCTACTTGGAATGAGGCGCCACAACCAGACATCGATCATCTTATTTTGTAGATGCCTAGACGTATACAGGAGTATATTCAGCAGCGAGGTCGCCTCATTGCCAACAAATCAAATTGAAGAATTTTTTTTGTGTATGAAACACTTGTAATGTTACTGAGTATAAATATATTGTTATAGGTTGTCATTTTACTAGAAAATGGTCACTGTGGTGGTCAAAGCATCATATGAGCGCATCGAAGTTTTCGATTTTACAGTAGCAGCAACTTGGTGGCAATACTGGAATGATAGAAAATATCTTCACATTTCAAAATATGAAACTGTTTACTTATTTGTCATCTGTGAACATTTCTAGTCTCACCTTCAAAAGGATCTGTCACCATATCATCGACCTTCCTCATCCTCTTACACTCTTCGTCCACTGTATTGATTTGAACTGAATGGTTCTGAATGAAAATAATTATTATTCAGTACGTTTGATTTCACTAAAAGGAAGAGTATCTAAAGCGCATAGGAAATTTGAGATTCCATTTACCCAGGAGTCAAATGCGGGTGCAACCTTCACAATTTACCAAAAAAGGAAACAGTAGAAGGTACAATTTTTTCAGCGTTTCTTCTTGAGGCTATCCACATCTATGAGAGTGGCATATACGAGGGTCATTTTGAAACTTTGTTGTAATCGAGTCAGAGAAATGTTATTTATGAATGAAAAAATTTAGTGTTCTTCAAAATGAATCTTCAACCAGCTTTTGGCTTCCACCGTCAAAGGACTCTGCCGTCTAACCGTAAAAAAGTTAGCTGCAGTTTCTTTCAACATGTCATCAATTTCCAAACGCACTCCACCAATAAATTCCTTAAGTTGTAGAAAAAGATAAAAGTCTAATGGTGATAAATCAGGGCTGTACGGTGGATGATCCGGTAATTCGCAACGAAGCTTGTCCAGTTGTGTCTGTGTTTTTGCCGCAACCTGAGGCCGAGCGTTGTCGTGAAGCAGAACAAGCAGGCGGTTTTGAATAGCAGAACAGTACGCATAGTTCAGCAAGCTGTGTACGAATTCCAGAAAGACAGCTTTTCTGCGTTTCAGATTCGAATTACTGAGCCCACTTCACAATCGTTGGGTTTGCTGATTGACATGTTCACGAACAAAGCAGTATAACCACACAATCAACACCAACAAAAACGTGAAACGTAATGGCGTCGTAGTAAGTTGCTGGTCGGTTCTTACTTTAAAAATGTCTTTGTAAAGGATAGGTAGAATAACTTACTTCTATCCTCCAGTTGTTTTCATCAATAACAACACATGTATCATCGCCTCTCTTTGAACCAGTGTGCTTCACCTTCTTCCCAAGATAGTCAATGCATTCGTGGAAGGACGCTTCACAGTATCTAGCAACTTCCCAGTGCAAGCTTCTTAATGGAGGTTTGGGAAACTTCTTATAATACTCTCTGAGAGCAGAGACAACAAGGAATGCAAATCAGGATATCAAGGAAAGAGAAATACTTATGTCAAACACTAAGGCCCGTATCGTCAGTCGTAACTACAATTGTAGGGCGCGTTTATGGCCTCCTTGATTGTCATCCTCCTTTCTCTCCTTCAAAAATTTCTAGATTACACTTGTCCCGTGTCAGCGTCTGCGCTCTCCTATTGTGAAGATATGTTTTCTTTTTAAATTGTAGGAAATTTCAGGCTGATAAAACATGATATAACTCAAAAGCAAGCACAATTTGATGCAAATAGATGTTTGTGACATAACCTCAAAATAGAGTTCTGACACGAAGAAGCAGAAAACTGACAATCAAGAAGGCCATAAAGGCGCCCTACAATTGTAGGGACGACTGACGATACGGGCCTAAGACCTGCCCTTTGATACATAAAACCAACAAAGACAAGGCAGCAGCAGGTGCTTATGGAATAACTGAAAAAATATATGACTAAAAAGTGGCGTCAAGTGGGTTGACTCTCCACTTACCAAGCAACCCCGTCATTAGTTCATTAAGGGTTAGGTCTAGCATAAGTTATACTCTCTGGGAAAAAGGTGCTTACAGTCAAAAGGACCCGTACAATTAGTCCATTCCTTCCTTGCTTTAACGGTAATACCGTCCATCAGGCAAAGATTTTTTAATAGGTGCATACAGTTACCTACGTTGGAAAAACATAAAAAAATTGCGATATATCCTCTCCCACATCTTACTACCTAAAATCCCTAGATCCTGAAAAAAAATTTTTTTTTAAAAGTCAAAAATCGAAGAGTGAGCCATTTTCGTTTTTTGTTTTTTGCCCCGAAGCTCACTCGCTACTGGACCGATTTTCAGAAACTACACAGTGCAAGCTTGTGTGAAAATTTCATCCAAAGCAGATAGGCAGAAAGACTGACGGAACTGATTGACATGGCTCTTCATGATATATATATACATATAGCATTTAAAAGCAGTGTGTCTCATTCACGAAACTTTTCACGATTGCAATACTTCCTTCCAGTAGGCGGGGGAAGTAAAAGCAAGCATCAAGTTGAGTCAACGAAGATGTTAAATAAAATATCCTTCAATCATTACCTTTATTTCCAGATAGACAATATACAATTGTATTGGAATTGTCAATTCTTCGTACGCTACAACCTACGACTAATCTAAAATATTCAAAAATCTATGGGGTTTTCCAAAACGGACGCAGGAAAGTAAACGCATATTAAAACAAGAAAGATTGATATTCAAATCAAGTTGGGTACTTTATTTTGAAGGTTCATTTATACCATTTATGTATCGCTCAAATGTTAACCACGACTGGATTAACAGACGTCCACGCGATGGTCGAAATTTTCAAAGACATTTTGCAACATGGTCGGTTCTATGGCATTTATCTCGGCAATGATGTTGTTTTTGAGTTCTTGGAGGGTGGCTGGTTTGTTGACGTAGACTTTGCTTTTCAAAAATCCCCATAAAAAGAAGTCCAAGGGAGTCAAATCGCACGATCTTGGTTGGCCATGACACATTTCCTCTGCGCGAAATCACGCGATCACCGAAGAAGGACTGCAATCGATGGATATTGACGTTGGTTGTGTGGCATGTTGCACCGTCTTGTTGGAAATAAACATCGTCCATATCCATTCCTTCAAGTTGCGGCAAAAAATAGTCCTCTATCATCACGTGATATCGCTCAGAATTGACGGTAACGCCGTCCCCGGCCGCATTTTCGAAAAAGTAAGGTCCGATGATGCCTTTTGACCACAATGCACACCACACAGTCACTTTTTGAGGATGCATCGGCTGCTCTTCATACTCACGGGGATTTTCGTTCGCCCAGATGCGGCAGTTTTGCTTGTTTACCGTCCCATTCAAAGTGCTTCATCGCTGAACATGATTTTTGATGAAAAATTGGCATCAATTTGGCGGTGTTCAAGGAGCCGATCTGAGAACGTTCGGCGCGAAAAATGGTCGGCCCGACGCAGCTCTTACGTCAATTGGATCTTGTAGGCGTGTACATTCAAATCCTTGTGGAGAATGCGGAGCAAACTGGTTCTCGAAATGCCCAATTCGTGAGATCGACGCGTTGTTCATTGTTTCGGATCGTCTCTCACACTCTCCTTCACAACAGCAATATTTTCCGGTGTGCGAACGCTCCTTGGCCGGCCAGAGCCTGGCAGATTTGCCACAGAACCTGTTGCCTCGAATTTACGCACCAGACGACCGATGGTTGTTTCGTTTGGGCGGTTGTTGCGACCGAAATGTTCACGAAGCGCGCGAAACGTGTTTTTTATTTTTGCACCATTTTTGTAGTGCTCTTGAATAACTTTAATGCGGTCTTCAATCGAATACGACTCCACAGCGATCAATGGTAAACATTCAACTAACAAAATGACATGTCGGTGACAGAAAACAAAGATGGCGTCTATGTCAAATTGACGTTTACTTTCCTGCGTCCCTATTGAACAACCCTTTATTAAGATGATAAACGCATTAGTTTATCAAAAATCGCGGCAAGTGGACAAAATATAAAATATAAAGAAATATACTTCTAGCCTAATCTTTTTTCATTGTCTATTACAGCAGTACATAGAACTTTAGCTTTTAGATAGTCTTCTAGGTTACTAGGTCCATGAAGCTTGTGTTACCAGATCCTAGAAAAATCCTGGGTAATGACAGGAAAGAAGAAGAAGAAGAAAAAATGGGTCGATTGAATAGATGCATTTATATTTCTAAGATCGATAGTTTTTACTGATCAAGGAAATCAATTTCGTGTTGTGTTAGGAAATTTGAGTTGAGCTTGATCTAGAATTTCATGACTTGAACGCGTATGAACCTGCTCGACTGTGTGGTCTGTTCGTTCACACGATAAAGCGTTATTCAGCGACTTTATCCGTTTACGGTTACTGAATGTAAGCACAACATACGTTAAGAACCTCAATTTTGCTTGTTAAAGGATCCGTTTCACACCCTCCATAATAATACCCACCACCTGCCAATCTCCAAAAGTCAAGAAGGCTTATCCCTCCCTTAAGCTGCGATTATCCTGTTTACCCGGATCCCGCGTGGCAGTCAATTAATAGCAAATTTGTGTATGCTCTTCACGCACTCGCAAGGATTGGGCGGATAAGGGCAAGCGCCAGGGCGCGAATGCAGAATTCTGCCTAAGACGTAACCCAGAAAGGAGGGAGGAGCAACTTCTGAGGGCGAGGGACGTTGGCTACTAAAAATTGAAGAGAGGAGAGAGGGTGGTGGCTGTAACTACATCAGTGCTTGTGGAGCAGGGTATTTTTTTGACCGAAGCAGCCGAGCAGGCAGAAGCTTAAATGCCAGGGCAACGCAGCTAGGATGAGGAGTTTAAAGAAACTTTGTTAATCTGATTTTTGAGCTGCCTTAGATTAGTAGTGGTGGGAAAACCCTCCTTATGTAGATTGTTCTACAATCTCGATACGTAGTTCGACTCGGTTACCATGGAAGGCGGGTCTGTCTGGCAGGCACATCGCGCGACGGCATCATGGAAGCGAGCCCTGAGGAGCAAAGCGTCGGCTCGCTGGTGCGAAAGGGTCCCAAGACTGTCCACAAGTGAAGAGTCATCGATCAGTCACACTGCCCTCATATGAACTGCATCAAGCATGGATAATGTAGTCGAGGCGGCATGTGAGCAGTACTCGAGGCTAGGTCTTATCTAGGCAGTGTGTCGATGATTGAAAATTGAGGAGCTGGGGGCAGGGGGCGGCGGCTGATTCATGCTCCTGAGAGCAACTGATCATGTGAAAATTGAGGAGGTATCGGCACAAAAAATATTGCGCTCGTGCCTATTTATTTTCTCTCAGTGAGCTCTCCCCCAATCCACCTCTGTAGATCCGTTACAGATGTCGACACGTTTTAAATACTCTTCTATGTGCAAAAATGACTTCGATTTTCTGTCTGCAGTGTATAGGGTGTTGCCTAATGTTGGCAGGAAAATCGAAAGGCGGACTATATGAAAATAGAGCCGAAAATGCTGCATATCTATACTTGTTATATTGAAATGTACAAAATGATGTACCTCCTAGAGCACTTACATCTGTGTCCGCTATTTTTTGCAGGTATGTACCTCTTGTTTTTTGTTCAGACGCATTGTTTTCGAGATGAAGCTAGTTGTTTTTGTTTGTTATACCACTTCAGATATTTCAATAAAATTTAGCATACATCAAGAGGCTGCATTTTTTAAGTAATACATTATTTAATTTCCACCAGTGGCGTCCGCAAGGAATTTCACCAGCCTATTTTGGCACACATTAATGGTAAGCCCCTGGTTTCTCTTAAAATAAATCATATCTGAGCAAATCTAATCACTTCCTATTTGCAATCCAATGCAAGGTTAAAATTGAAACACCAGTATATAATCAGTTATCATTGTTGACAAGCATTTTTCTGCCAGAGCCTCAAAAAAATGAGGCAATCATGTACGGACACGCCCATTGCTGCAATCGGAGCAATTTGTTTCATGATAAATTCCAAATTTTGCACTGATTATTCTGGCTAAACCTACCTCTTTTTGTTGCATTGCATTACATACAAAATTGTACTAGAGCTTGTTTCAAAGGCGTGGGAGGTATACGAGCCCCTTCCCACTTCAGTTGGCCCAACTATTGAAATCTTAGTTTTTTCTTAACAAACACAAATAATAAAAATATAGTAGGGTGTTATAGGTTTAAAATATTAACAATGAACATTTTGATAATATATAGTAGAAAACAGCAACTTTGTCACTCTCTAATCAAATTTGCAGCATAAAAATAACCCATGTTGCAATTACAGCATATCAACCTATTTTCATTTCAATGCAAAATAAGTCTATAACGCATAGGTGGCTGTCAAAAATAAAAGCCATGACAATGGTTTTTATTAATCACAGCTGTCAGAATACGTTTAAAATAGTTTTGGGTTATTAAGGTTTTCAAAATGGGTAGAGGAAAGGTTATTTGTGAGAAAATTCGGTTACTGATAATTAAATTTTTTAATTCTCAGAAATTGCAACTTTGTTAGGCTTTGTTAGGTACAGTGTGAGAAATACTGTTAGAAGATATAACGTAACTGGTTCAGTTAATATTAAGCCACGATATGTGAAAAAAAGTAAAAGAGAGTAATAAAGAGCATTAAGAAGAATAATCGTGAAAAACAGGCGTGCCAATTATTTACAATTAAGTGCCCTGTGGACTGACGCGGTTCGAAGGAGAATTTCGAGGTCCACAACTCATAGAGAGGCCCACAAACTGGGATTTAGCTCTTGCAAGGTAAGTTTTCTTATAAAAAAAAGTAAAGTAAAAATCCTAAAGTTGCACAACTTGTTTATAGGCCAAAGAAAAGCCACTATTAACTCCACTGCAAAAGAAAAATCAGCTTAGATGGGCTAAAGAACATAGACAATGGACACCTCAACAATGGTATGCAATACAATGGAGTGATGAAGCCCGATTCGAAGTTTGTGTTGGTGACAGTCGCAGTAGAGTTAGTCGCAAAAAATGAAGCATTCCATGTTGACTGTCTGAAGAGAAAAGTGAAATTTCCAGCATCCATTATGGTCTGGGGCAGTCTGTCATCAAACGGAGTATGAAAACTTCATTTTGTTGATGGAAATGTGGATACAAACAAATATTTTAGGAGAATCGCTTTTACCAGTGATGGAAGAATGTTTGACATCCGGCCAAGATTTTGTGTTTCAGCAAGACGGTGCAGCGTGCCACACCTCAAAAACGGCTATAAAATGGATGGAAGAGAATAATGTACCACTTTTGAAATGGGTTTCTAGCAGTCCAGATCTGTCACCTATTGAAACTTTGTGGCACGAGATCAAAAAGGTTCTACGACAACATCCTGCTCGTACAATCACCGAACTGAGACAAAAGCTTCAAGAAATATGGGATTGTTTTACACCAAAATTGGTTAACATTAAATTGTTTTAGAAGTTACATAGTTTCGTCATGTTTAGTTTATAAAGGCATACTTTGGTACAAATCTTGAAGCGGGCCAACTGAAGTGGGAAGGGGCTCGTAGAGTTAATCTACGACATTTTTGCTCTAAGAAGTAATGGCGGCGGAATATTTTCACGGTTGCTAGACCTTAGTTGACTCCATATGAGACAGATTTTACAATAAAGACGACGCCTATATTCCACTATATAAACAGTTCGTCATTATTTAAAATCACCGTTTTAAGGCTTTTTTAGACAAATATAGTTCAAAAAGGACTTTGTTCAGAGAAAAGTGGTCCATCAAAATTCTGATTATTCTTTTCTGACCTTTTCTCAGATGATATACATTCATGAAGTATTGTTTTGCAAACTCAATTACATCCAGCGCCGTGTCTAAGTAAGTCTGAGAATAAACGTCGATCAATTTAGATTCCCCCATTATACACTTCGCCTCCGGCAAAAAAGTCATCATCTAACAAATAAGTTTTGAAGGCTCTTTGAGAAAAATTACATAATTTCCCGACATCAAACAAGTCACGTGATTCCCTGCGGTAGCCGCCTTAACGTTATGATCAGTTTCCCCAATAGACGTGAAAGCAGCTTATTACACATACGATTGCCACTTGAACGCGCAACTGACTAAGCATTAGCGTTACCTTATCCCTTTGCCTGGATCTGTGACGTATCTCCTGTCGTATTCGTTGAATTTGTAAGCACGCAGATAGTATGCTACGTCCCTTGCGGCGACAGTAATCTGGTTTTCGATGCGATGCTCCGACTTTGGTTTCGCCGTACTCGTAGATGTACTGATGTTCGTGGTATTTGAAAATGCCGGTAGGATATGAGGTATTATTGTCAAGATGCAGCAGAGTGTGTACATTTGAAAATATTTTTGTTACTTTCTATAGTTGCAGGCGGTTGACACTGACTGAAGTTTGTCGCTATGTCACGTCTGAGTTCCTGAAGTGTTACATAGTGTGCATTGGACTACACTGTAGCAATTACAGGGTTCGTAATTGTTTGACCATAAACTGACTCCCCTCTAACTGTTTCTAGAAGAAAAAGATCTATATGGAAGTTATAGAGTGAAAATGATAACACCTTTTTATCTAATTCCAAATATACGAGCCCCTTCCCACTTCAGTTGGCCCTACTATTAAAATCTTAGTTTTTTTCTTATCAAACACAAATAATAAAAATGTAGCAGGGTGTTACAGGTTTAAAATATTAACAATGAATATTTTGATAATATATAGTAGAAAACACTAACTTTATCACTCCCAAATCAAATTTGCAGCATAAAAATAACACACGTTGCAATTACAGCATATCAACCAAATTTCATTTCAATGCAAAATAAGTCTATAACGCTTAGGTGGCTGTGAAAAATAAAAGCCATTACAATTACTTTTATTAATTACAGCTGTCAGAATACGTTTAAACTAGTTTTGGCTGGTTAAGGTTTTCAAAATGGGTAGAAGAAAGGTTATTAGTGAGGAAATTCGGTTACTGATAATTAAATTTTTTTATTCTGGGAAATCAAACTCAGAAATTGCAACTTTGTTAGACTTATCGCGGTAAAGTGTGAGAAATATTGTTAGAAGATATAACGTAACTGGTTCAGATAATATTGAGCGACGATATGTGAAAAAAAGTAATATCACAAATGCCGACCGAAGAGCATTAAGAAGAATAATCGTGAAAAACAGGTGTGAAAATTATTTACAATTAAGTGTTCTGTGGAGTGACGCTGTTGGAAAGAGAATTTTGAGGTCCACAACTGATAGAGAGACCCACAAACTGGGATTTAGCAGTTGCAAGGTAAGTTTTCTTATAAAAAAAGTGAAGTAAAAACCCTAAAGTGGCACAACTTGTTTGAGGCCAAAGAAAAGCCCCTATTAACTCCACTGCAAAAGAAAAATCGGCTTAGGTGGGCTAAAGAACATAGGTAATGGACACCACAACAATGGTGTGCAATACAATGGAGTGATGAGGCCCGATTCGAAGTTTGTGTTGGTGACAGTCGCAGTAGAGTTATTAGCAAAAAAAATGAAGCATTCCATGTTGACTGTCTGAAGAGAAAAGTGAAATTTCCAGCATCCATTATGGCCTGTGGCAGTATGTCATCAAAAGGAGTAGGAAAAATTCATTTTATTGATGGACATGCGGATACAAACAAATATTTGGAAATTTTAGAAGAATCACTTTTACCAGTGATGGAAGAATGTTTGACATCCTTTCAAGATTTTGTGTTTCAGCAAGATGATGCAGCGTGCCATACCTTAAAAAAGGCTATAAAATGAATGGAAGAAAATAATATACCACTTTTGAAATGGGTTTCTAGCATTCCAGATCTGTCACCTATTGAAACTTTGTGGCACGAGATAAAAAAAGTTCTACGACAACATCCTGCGCGTACAACCACCGAACTGAGACAAAAGCTTCAAGAAATATGGGATTGTTTTACACCAAATTTTTGCCAAAACTTGGTCAACGCTATGCCCCAAAGAATTTCAGCCGTAATAAAAAATAAAGATGTTACCCAATGGCAGTCTATCAATTGTTGCTTTGTTAACTTCGCGCATTTATTCGCACATTGTTTGTTTGTTCAGATGTTCTATTAGTTATAGGTCTAAGTGATTTCAAATATGCATTTTTTACGAATTGAGTGTATATAAAATGTTTTTGGGAAAATAAATTGTTTTAGAAGTAAGTGCAGGTAGTTTCGTCATGTTTAGTTTATAAAGGATATTTTGGTACAAATCTTGAAGTAGGCCAACTGAAGTGGGAAGGAGCTCGTACATAGCTTGTTGAATCTGTTTGTATTACTAAATCAAAAAATTGAAATTTACACCGTATACCGTAAGTGACACAAAAACGTCAAGTCTTTGGTCAAACTTATAAAGACAAGCAGCACAAATCATAATACATATTTGGAATCAGGAAAAAGTGACTATCATTTTACTCGAAAATATTCACGGTGTTCGGTTTAAAAAAATACATATGCATTCGTCAACATTTTTCTGGGAAAAATTGTCACATTAAAAACTTCATATTACAGAAAACTTTTTCTCCTGGAAAGTTACATAAAACAGTTAGAGGGAGGTCACCACCTATGATTTCGGAAATAGAACCAAGTAATTCTTCTGTGCACTTTTCTCTCCGTGTTCAAAACATTGGAAATAAGGGTGTTGTCATTCTCATGGTTCATTTGCTCTTTCGTTTCTTTGTTTATCACAAAGTGCTTAAAATACTCAGAATATCTATCACAGACGTATTTGATACATCACAGGTTTCCTCGTGGATTTGTCTTTGAACCTCGAGGTTGATCGAAAGTATTTTCGAGACACGCGTCTCCTGACGTACCTGAATCGCGGTCTGACTGATGAGTAGCTGCCGCAGCTGGCGAGTGGCGCGGTTTGTCATAGCAACGTTGCCAGATAGTCGGTACTGTCGGTAGGGCAGGGGAGAAACTTCTATGTGGCAACGTTGACAAGAAGCTGGGGCTATGAATATATTGTATGGACCTTTTCGACTTGACCCGATGCTTGTTTTAGGTTTGTTTGATTTTACTATACGAGGGATGTCTTTTAGGTTTTGCATATAGAAACATAGTAGGCCGCGCGCATCGAACGTCAGTACTCACCCTTTAGTACACTTAAATTCAAAGTTTTACAACAATACGTACAGTGCTCACACTACAGTGAATTTTTAAGTGTCACCAAGTCATTAGAAAAATGGAACTCAACCGAGAACATTCACGCACCATAATTTATTACAAATTTCAGAGACAATTATCGCAACAGGAATGCATTGCCGAGTTACTGTCTGTTTTCGGAAACGAAGCGCCACATCAGTCGACAATTTCCCTTTGGTTTGGAGAATGCAAACGTGGACGGGTGAGACTTAGCGACGATTCGAGGGTGGGTGCACCACGAAAACGTCGATGCTGTGCGCAAACTCATCATTGAAGATAGACATGTGACATATCGCGAGATTAAGGCGTCTTCGAAGATCTCAAAGACCTCAATTTAAAAAAATTTACATGACGAATTAGGAGTAAGAAAATTAGTTTCTCGTTGGATACCCCACCTGTTGACTGGAGAGCAGAAAGCAGCCAGGGTTAATTGGTGTCAAGAAACGCTTGATCGTTTCAATTCCGGAAACTCAAAAAATGTGTACAGCATTGTTAGTGGTGATGAATTTACTGTTATGAACCAGAAAATAAACGACAGTCGGCTGTTTGGGTGTTCCAAGGTGAAGAAAAGCTAATAAAAGTCATCCGTTCTCGAAGTGTTTCGAAAAAGATGGTCGCGACATTTGTGTCAAAAGCGGGTCATTTTGCAACAATTCCTCTTAATGAACAAAGAACTGTTACTGCGGATTGGTATACCACCATTTGTTTGCCAAAAGTCATCAACGAGCTTCGAAAAATCAACCCCGAAAGAAGAATCATCCTCCACCAAGACAATACAAGCTCGCGCGCAGACCAAAAAACAAGGCAGTATATAACAAAAGAAAACGTGGAATTATTGGACCATCCTTGATACAGTCCCGATCTAAGTCCTAACGGTTTCTTTACTTTCCCGAAAATTAAAAACCGGGTCAAAGGTTCCAGTTACCAGAAGAAGCAGTTGACGCATTCAAAAACGCCGTTTTGGATCTGCCAGCAAACGAATGGAATAAGTGCTTCGAAAATTGGTTCGAGCGCATGGAGATGTGTATTAATCTTCGTGGAGAATACTTCGAAAAACAATAAACTCATTTAAAGCTACCTACCGTGTTGTTTTATTTCCATATGCAAAACTTAAAAGTAGTATGTCTTTAACAAAACAATCATATGCTTCACAGTAGTCTTTCATTTTCTGCCTATGATAGTCATGACAACAAATTTTCTTCATATCTTGTTAGCTAACTTTGGAAAACACTAATAAAATTGCTGATCCAAAATATCCATGGTTGTTCCACATCTATTGTCGTTCTTTGGGTTTTTATATCGATTCAAAAACTGGATTTTAAACAAATAATTTGCATTTGAACATTTTGAAAATACTAAAATTATAAAATTTAGAAAATGTTTAAAACTTAAAATTTTAAAAATAAAGTTTTCGAATCATAACTTAAAATTTTTATAGTTAAAAATTTTGAAATGTTTGAGCGTCTAAAATCGTGCATGTTTCGAGAATGTTGGAAATTTCCAAATTTTGGAAGCCAGTTATGACCACTGTTACACCCTACAGAGAAATGCAAATGTTAATTCCCCCGTTGAACATTCCTCAAAGCAGCATGTTTGTACGAAATCCAAGGAGAGATCATTCCTCAAACTGCATTTATCCTTCTATAAATATGACCCTAAAGATATTCCATATCTATACTAAGGGACGCAGAAACTAGAACACCCTGTAATAATGATTTATGAGGTAAGCGATTGATCGATAATTTCAGAAATATGCAACCCCTTGAAAAAATGTGTAAAAGAATAATAATTTTTGAGACCACCCATTACTACTGGGTGTTCTTTTTTCTATGTCACTTAGTATATTTAGTTGACCTAGAACTATCACATACATCCTCACGCTATCTGAGCATTATCTCTTGGATACGTCTATAGTCCCTAGGTATAGGGTCCCCCATATACATAAATATGAAACAAGATGGTTTTATCAGTAACAAAGACGGATCCCTACTCACTTATGTCAGGCCCTTTAAGGTTGCAAACAAAGTGATCGCGCGGGGCTCAGAATGGATGCTAAGGCAATAACGTGGGTAATTATTTTGATAAGGAGAGTCGGGTAATTAGATTTGGCAGCTTGAGAGGGGGAACAGCGGTATTTTATACTGGAATATTGGATTTCCGGAACGTAATTCACTTTCTGTTTCAAGCTGAAAGTGAACTACGAGAAGAAGTTTGTATTCGGGGGATTGGGTCTCCTC